TAGTAGATAATAGACATTCTCTTGAGGACCCTTTTGGTAGAATTTTTACATGTTAGCAGCATCTTCCAAATTGTTCCGATGGCATATTTAGCAGTGTTGTTGTTTGTTCAGTGAGCATGTGGTAGAGGTGGAAAATGGCTGCTTTGCTGTCTGCCATATGATCTTTTTTGATACTCCCACTGGTTGGCGCCAAAGTCAGAAATATTCAAATGATACCAAAGGCAAGAAGTGGATGCAGTCACTGTGACATCACCCATTGGTTTGAGGAGTATAGTTTTGAAGCCTTGAATTCAATGTTTTGTCCGTCGCCAGCTTGGTTTTTTGGAAGTGAAATGAGAGGGCGGACCACAACTGATCGCTGAATAAAAGTTTTTTAGCCCACCAAAATGTTACAATTAACTTTCATGAACTGAAAACACACTGTGAAAAGGTTAGAGTTATAAGAAGGAAACACGGATAACTCCCAGACTGGATGATGCCATGGAAACGACCTGTCAATCATAAGGTAGCCCCACACTAAAGCATCCTCTGCTTTATGGTCTGTTTGACTCTAAATGGACCATAATGTACTAAATGAACATCATGCTGTATTGAAGAAGACTTGAAACTAGAGATTGAGACCATAAACTCATGTTTACAATGTTTACTGAGGTAATAAATCAAGAGAGAAGTAGAGTCATTTTCTCATAGACTTCTATACAACCAGAGGAGTCGCCCCCTGATGGACATTAGAGAGAATGCAGCTTTAAGACACTTTGGCATTGACTTTACTTTTCAGACTCGGAGGTTGACGCCTAAATGCTACACATGTTGGTGAAATAGCATTCTTGCTCATGGCTGTAGCATTTACGGTTGCATTTTTATATCTTTTAGCTCATTGTTTCGGTATTCTAGCCGGCCATATCCGCTCTCATTTACCTTGTTTCCAGCCACAAGCCTTTCTTAGCAAAAAAACGTTCTGATAAACTGTACACGACCTGCCCTGGAGAGGAGATATATTGTATATTGCAATAGTAGCAGTAGTCCTAGTAGTAGTAGTATATACTATACAGCCCATTTGTAGTCTAGCATGACATGAACCAATAGCTGCATCACCATGTTGTAACTGGGTTAGTCCTTTCTGGGTCTACGTGGTGCCTCTCTTGTCTTATTTGCGTTGAGCATCCAGAGTCAAACATTAACTCTGTGCTAAATCAAATACAAAACCTGCTTGCTCTAAAAAGCTTGCACTGCGCGTCATGGTTTGACTCATGACACACAAGTTTATAAAACCACTGCCACAGCTACTCAAAGCGAAAGCAGCTGAACGGGGGTCGCTCCAGACCTGTGATTCTGGACTTTGCTTGAGTTTTAAACGTGGAAAATGGAATTTCTCATGGATACAGAATGATTTTTGAGTATCTGGGCACATATTTGAGCTCATTTTCTGTGAAGCTGAATGAAAGAAGGATGCAGGTTGACAAACCACAGCTGCGGGACACCATGCACCCAGGATCGGGTTATGGCTTATAGCAGTAAGTTGACTGCTTGGACTCATTTCCTGTATTGCAGTTCTTATTTTTAAAGAGGGGTCACTATGGATTTATACAACACTTACAGTGGTGTAAATGTATCGCTTGGATGTCAAATAAGATGGTAAATGCTGGAGAGATCATGTTTGGAATATGGCTGTGATATAATGCCTCAATTCGTTATGATATTCTGCGCTCTTTATTCGGAGCTCACAGGAACTCCATAAAAGAACAACAGAGTGCAGTAAACCCTGCAACACTTCATTAATTCAGTTCCAACTTTTGCACTTTCATAAAACCTGTGTTTATGTGGTCATGACATTTGGAGAGACGTGTCAGGGCAAAGCATGTGGGAGATACAGCACATGTAGTTCAGAGTTGGAAAGAGGTCAAATAAAAAGGGGGGGGGGGGGGGGGGGGATATGAATAAACTAAGACAGGCAGGTAAAACCCTAGTTGCGTCTAGATGGCAGATTGTCAGCCATCTCCGCCGTGTGCTCCCCTAGGACTCCTGCTGCTGCTGATTGGAGTGATATATCTTGTCCAGGCCAGACCCACTGACTTTTGGTGCAACCGTCAAGCCAGGAAAACTATGGAGAAAAAGATTCAGGGGCTGAGGACAGACATGGTGAGGAATTATGCAATACCATTGATTTAAGTAAAGTAGAATTTATAAAAGGCAAAGACAAATAGACGTGTATCTGTGTAAAAAACAGTCCAACAAGAGCTTTTCTAGTAAAAAGAAGCTTTTTATGTAAAAGAAAGTTGAGTTTCTTTGTTGATTTATGTGTGTGACAAAACTTTGTTCATGTACTCAGGTTGCCTGCGTGGGTGCAGACACTCTGCCCTCTCCTGTACAGCTGCCATGTGTTTGGGTGCACGCAGCAGAATGGGCAAATCAAACTGTACGTTTGTGACACGCACCGAAGCACGTACACACAAATTCTATTTGTCTGTCATTCATAACTTTGGCAGTCAGTTGCAAAAAGCGACAGCTGCTATGATGTTTTTTTTCTTTTACTTCATCGAATACTTGTCAGGGAATACAGACAACTGTGCAAAAGTGATTTTAAAGTGCAGTAATATAGGACTTTGGTTGGCATTTTACATATGTAATTATGTGGAATAGAAGCAAAACAAATCACCTCTCATCTTCAAAAGATCTACCTGCTGCTGAGAATCTAGCACATTTAAAATATCAACATAAAAAAAAGATTATAAATCATGTGCGTTTACGTCAGAAGAGACCGTTTTAAAATCTAGATACTGCTAAAAGCATTGCTTTAGGTCATTAATCAAGATTAATTGAGCAGAAACATGACAAGAAAAATGTTGGCAATATTCACAAAGACTTCGGGGGAAATTCAAACAATGTCTGCCTTATCTGCTTGCCAACTAACATGATCAGAATGGCAGGAATACAAGTCATCTTCAGCATGTTAGCATGCTGATGTTAGAATTTAGGAAAAGTTCAGCCCAGACAGCAACCAACCTTGTGATGAGGGAAGCCTCTTAAAGCTGCATTCTCTCTAGTGTCCACCAGGGGGCGACTCCTCTGGTTGTATAGAAGTCTATGAGAAAATGACTCTAATTCTCTCTTGATTTATTACCTCAGTAAACATTGTAAACATGAGTTTATGGTCTCAATCTCTAGTTTCAAGTCTTCTTCAATACAGCATGATGTTCATTTAAAAAAAAAAGGGATACTCCAAAAAGCCTGATCATAAACGTGTTATTCGTATCATGAACTCACGTGATTGTGTAGTAGACGTTCGAGTGAGTTTTATTTGCAGAAGATAAAATACGGGTACCGAGTATCAAAGTTTGAAAGACCAGTTACTTTCATTTCACCGGAACATTGTGACAGTTTCAGGTGTGTGCTTCTCCAGCTCCAGCAGAAGTGTGCAGAGGTGGTCGAGGCCCTCCGGATGTTTCGAGCCGGCGTGCAGGGGACGAAGAATCACTCCACATCGGAGTGTCAGACCTCACTGTTGGAGAAACTGGAGCATCACATCGCAAACTACGTGGCCATCGTCAGCAGGCATCAGACACAGGTGATACGCATTAACGTGAATACGCATTGTTGTTGTATAGTGTGCACTTTTAAACATATTATACAGAGACATCCACTAAAAAACTAGGTACGACTAAAACTATATGTATGCATATGATGAGAGGGAGAGAGTGAAACGATAATTAGAGAATGAATACAAAGCTTTTGGATTAAACAATAGGACATTTTTTACATTGGTTGCAAAAATGCCAAGATGGCGACAGCCGTAATCCAAGATGGCGACGGCCAAAAAGCCGAACACGAGGCTTCAAAAGGAACACAAAGCAACGGGTGATGTTACGACTACGTCCACTTCTTATATACAATCTATGATCTGGAACCAGGTAAACTAAATACTGAGCATACGTTTATTATGATTTCAGCCAAGTAAACACGTGAAACGCCAGTATTTTGTCCTCCTTGATTTTTAAAATGTGGTTCCAGCACTCCACCATGAATCCCGTCGTTTGAAGCGCGACCTCTTTTACCAACTAGAACATATTCTAGCTACCACGTGCTTAATTCCTAAATGTCTGCATTAGTTATGAAGAGCACATGTTTGTCTTGTGTATATTAAATCAATTCCACTTCTGGGCCCTTACAGAACAGCACGGTGATGCCGTCTCGCTCTGCAGTACGGAACTGTTCCAGCGTGAACTCTACCAGCAAAGTGCTACAACAGTACGGATACCTGCTCAAGGGAAAACTGGAACGCCTTGCTGTTGACCTCCGAGACGACGTCCCAAAAGTGGAACAAAGGACAACCACGACTAAAGGACGTTGCAGCTAATTTAACAAAATGGAACGTAGCTCATTTGTGCTGCTGAGCTGTGCTTTACTTTTGAGAACTGATCCGAGATGCGACAGGATATCAGGAGATTGACCAGCACGTTGTGGACTAAGAGCCTCCATCGTGTTGACGGAGACCCGATAGGAAAGGACTAGGTTTGGGATTGGCGGACAGAACGGTGTAGTAGTGGATATGATCTGTTGTTTTTGCCATTTATACTGGAAAACGAGGATGGACACGGGCAGAAACTAGTGAGTGGCTTTGAAAACCAACGGAGATCATAAAAACTCTCAGGGAGCGATGGTTTCTTGCAGATCTTCTAAAAGTTCTTCTTAAAGGTGCAGTGTGTGATGCTTGGCCACATGCTCCAAACAAATGGGGGGGCAGCATTTCACCTCTTCACTGGGTCCAATCAATCAAAATCTACAGTCGTTAGACCCAAAAACCAACGATGATGTGTGGCGTCGGCCTGTAGTTGACGTTATAGCTTGCTTGGCTCAATTTGAGCAAGAAAACCAACCAAATCGCAAACATCGACGCCATTTTTAATGTTTTACCTTACAGTGAGTTGTTTCCGTTTGCTACACTAAACAATATTTTTGCCAAATAGCCAAGGTTAGACGGTACCAGTCAGCATCAATCCTCACCTTATTACTCGCCCAGAGAGACGTCTCTATTGGTGGAAAGCCACGGTGGTGTTTGCTCATGTTTTGCTTCTTTTTTTAAATATCTCTTCTGTTTCTTCTTTTTTTGCTGCAGAATGGTGTTTCTTGATCGGGAGCAGATTTTTGAGATGGTGATAAAGGTTGCTTTGTCAAGAGCTGCAGCCATTTTTGTGTTTACTGTTATAGTAACCGGGGAAAGTACCTTTAACATGGTTGTCAATAAGCGCTGGGGACTTCCTCGTTCTCTCTTGTTGGACTGGAGGACTCGGTGCCAGAACATTTCACAAGAGTTCAGGGTCCGACTAGAATGCTGTTGTCACACTTTGGCTTTCAGTCAGACCCCAAAAACTAATTTGTTCCCATGTATGTATATATATTTTTGCAATGGACGCCACTTGCACCAGCGTTAAAATGAGCAGAGTGTGGGCGCTTTGTTGGTTCTACTTGTGTGACAGGAAACTGTAGCTGTAGCGCCATCTGTGGGTGCTGGATGAGAGGTGCTCCGTGCTGGGCATCTCATCTCTTCTTCATCTTCATCTTTTAAACTGTCGAAGGCTGGCAAATGTAACTCACTTCATATTTAATATTATATTCAACTCTCTTCATATGGAAAAAAGGAGAAAAATAAAGCAGAAAAAAACATTTAAATGCAAATAAGATCTTCAAAAACTTGACACCGATACAGTTAAAGATAGACTTGGTGATTTTGTTAAAGGGCCAGTGTGTAGCATTTTGGACGATTCAATTAGCATAAATACAATATAATATTCATAACTATGTTTTTAGCAGTGTATAATCACCTGAAACTAAGAACCGTTAGCCCCTCATGTCTACATAGAGAGCAGGTCCTCTAGTCGTGTTAGTTCTGTCTGACAGGGCACTGTGTTTTCATCGACCCATGCATTGTTGCCAAAAAGAAAGAAATACTAACTTTTTTTTATACACTGGACATGTCACGAACAAATATAATGAATGTGTCAATAATAATTAAATGCATTTAATAAAATTTTGTATTTTTTCTTCTTTTATCTTTTTGTATTGGGAAGTGTTAACAAATAAATACATTTAAACTTTTAGTGTCAAAGTGAAATCAAATCAATTCTGATTGGCCCAGCCCACATGATCACATGACTGTAAGCAACAGGCTGAAAAATATGTGGGCTGGAGAAAAGAAAATGCATTTGTCAAGTTAGATACTGGAAGTCAGGACAAAACCGGAAACTGCAGCTTTTGTCTTGACAAATATGTAAATATCTATATCTATATCTATATACATATATGTATATATAGCAAGAAGAACAACTGAATATTTGTTTGTTGTATATTCCTGTTGAAATACAATCTTTTTTTCCAAATTTCTCTTGAATTAATTACAAAAACTTGAACTAGCTAGTCAGCAGCTTTCATACTGAAAGTTACCACCGGAAGTTATGCTTGTGATTGTGGCGCGCTTGATGTTTTTACGTCACATGATCTTCTTTTCAGTAGGACACGAGAGCTACAGAGGCTGTGGACATGGACAGTTTGTGTGGACTTCTAACTGACTTTTTTTAGCACTATATGAAAGTACTTCCGAGGAGAAACACAAGAAACGTTTATGCACGTGTCAAAGTGCCAGCTTTTAGAGTACTTCATGAAGCCGCGAGGCTCGTGAAGAGGCAGGTTTCACTATGACAGAGCGGACTCCTCTCCTCCACTACCGCCTCTCCACCAGCGTCAATGAATCCGAGCCGCGGTCCCCTCCGGCCGGCCGGGCCCTGGTGCAGCACCCGGGCCCGGCCGGCCGGAAGTCTGCCCTGCAGGGGCAACCTAAGAAACTCTCCATCTTCTTCGGTGTGGTGATCCCGACCCTGCTGTCGATGTTCAGCGTGGTAGTGTTCCTCCGCATAGGTGAGTGCTGGAGATACCTGGAGGCGCACTTAAAATCACTGCGCAGCGTTCTGTGAGAGCTGCACCAAACCCCAAACTATGAGATTATAATAGTACCTTGTTTGTGGGTAAAGTTTTGTGGTACAAGATGAAATACAATAATCCTTTATTAGTCTACATTTACAGGATTACAGTATAGTGCAAACAAGAGACATAGTAAACAAAACAAGTATTATAAATAAGTAATAACACAGTAAAGAATATTAAAAAAGTAAAGAATCCACAATAACTAAAGTGTTATATATACAGACAGAATAATTGTAGTGTTGCAGTGTATTTATATTGCACAGATTTGTAGTGTTGTTAGTGTTATAACATAACTATAACTGTTTTTTAGTAGGAATTGTTGAATTGGGTATTAAAGCTATTCATAAAGTTTGGCTCGTTTCAACATCAAAGCTTAAATTCCACGGAGGGCAGCATTGAACACATTCAATAAGTTGTTTTATTGAAATAAAGTTGTGCTTGATGACATTCAAAGCTGATTAATATGAATCATTAAATCCATGTATCCCTTATAGTTCCCCTCATTGATTGAGTGCTGGTCATGAATGGGATTTGGGTTAATAAGCAGATTAATTATAGAAGTTTCATACGCACCTGCACTCAAAACCAGGGTCCTATTTTCTGTTTTACCAGTTTGAGAGCAGCCGTTACAGACGTTTCTTTAGTTTGTGAAAGTTATGCATAACCTGTGTGTGTCCTACTCACAGGGATGAGCTTCAATAGAGCAGCTGTAACATTCTCCTCAAAGCGTTATTAATCGTAGGAAAGTGTGACATACTGGTTTTTTACGGGTCAAAATTGTTCGTTTGCCAACTTCATTGAGAGGAAGCATTTCTGGAGCAATGGTGTGAGTTTGAGGTTAAAGCAGCGGAGAAAAGTCCGTTTGTTCAACATCGAGAGCGTGAAACGTTCCGCTTTCCAGTGAAAGATGTGCGTGAAGCGAGTCATCGTAATGTGACGCAATCCACACATTTCACATTCCTGCTGTCTCAGCATTAAAATATTAAAAAAGAGGCACTGAAAAGTGAGAAGGACCAAAAAAAAGGATAAACAGCATTTTGATATGTAACGTCATTTTCTCTGTTCTCCTATCCGACTTCCACTTATTGGACTGTTGTGTGTTCCTCTTTTTGTTGTACCTCCAACAACCTCTCTCTCTCTCTCCCTCTCTCTCTCCCCCACCTCCCCCACAGTCTTGTGAGATGTCAGCTGCTATGCATGGTGTACACACACACACACACACACAGACACACAGTAGGACTTTAGAGCTCTCACAGTGCAACATGCTGCTCCACACAGGAACTACCCGTATAGTTTCACTGTGGATGTGAAAGTTGTGTGAGTGTGCCAGCTGTGGAGCTCACCTCACATTTTGAGTAATTGAGATTCTTTGTGCGGTTATAAGTTGGCTTGATGCTGAAAAATGTGACATTAGCAAAGATGAAAGCTTTATTAGAGTAACGGTGTTACCAGTAAACCTGTCCACACCCTTAATTACTGTGTACAGAATTGTCCGTATTAAACGCGCCACCACGCGTGCAGCTTTGTCTGGTTTCAGGTTTGACCCTAACGGCAATATTTATTTATCACCAATGCAACAAAAATGTACAAATTTCTTCATTTTTTAGGTGCATGTTTGGCTGTATGCTGTCCTGTCTTTATATGTTAAAAAGGCCTAACAATGGTCAGGGCTCAACAATAGAGGGTTGCCCGATAGCCCCTGGGCGAGTGCAATGACACGTCGGGCTAGTAGCTCTAGCAGCCTGGTGGGGCAAGGAGTAAAGAAAGACTTAAACACAAGCGAGCACTTTTAGTTAATCCTGTAAACGGGTGTTTAGTTTGGTGGTGTCAGACGATGGAGGCCAACCCGCTGGGTTTTGGGAAGTTTAAAGCGATTTTTGAGAACGAGGTGATTTGAAACGGGTCTTTCTTCAGAAGGCGCGCCAACGTCGCTGGAGTGTCGTAACGTGACAATCAACTTAAGTTGATAACTGCTAATGAATAAAATCATTTGTATTTAGGGGCAAGTCAAAAATGGGCTTCGGTTCAGTAGATTTCTGACCCATTTGGCCGATCGGGTGAGTGAAAACAAACTTTGAACGTTGAACCCTGATTGGTTGCCATTATCTCAACTGTTACCCTCGAGCCCTGACTTACTATCATGGCCGAGAATCATCAACGACTGTTTGCCACGAAAATGTAAAATAATGAGAACAGCTGAGGTACAGAAACAACGTATCCTCGTACAACGGTTCGTATGATTTGTTTCTTTTGTGCAACACGTGTAAATTTCCGCTCGTTTCACTCACTCAGTCTTTTCAAAATAAACTTCCGCTTTCACAGGAAACATCTCAGTTATAGTTGGGCAACAAAACTAATTTAAAAAGTCAAACCAGCTCCTGTTTCTTTTCTGCTACACAAACGGCAGAATTACAGTAAAGTGGGAAATTAAACTTCCCTCTTCTGACGCTCTGACTCTCCGGCCCGGACCATCGTTCTGCTTTTAACCAGCTGATCAGTGTTTTTGCTTTGTCTGACCAGGGTTCATGGTGGGCCATTCCGGACTGTACCAAGCCATTGCCATGCTGCTGGTGGCCTACTTCATCATCTGCATGACCGTGCTGTCGGTCTGCGCCATCTCCACCAACGGAGCCCTGGATGCTGGAGGGGCCTATTGTATCCTCTTCACACACACACACACCACACACCACACCCACCACACTCACACACCACACCCACACACCACGCACACCACACTCACCACACTCACACACCATCAGATGACATGGCGTGTGTCTGTTTATGGTGGTGTGATGTAGCATTGTATGTGAGCCTGATCAGATAGAGGCCTGTATGTTTCACTGCCAGCAATTTGGTAAATGACCCCAATCAGTGCTGTTTATCACTCAGGAGGACAGGCCATCATCACCATCATCACCATCATCATCCTCTTCAGTTAAAACACATGCTTTGTGTCTTCTTGGCATTCAGCTCTTGCAGTCGTGACTTCCTGCAGACGATTAAATAAAAGTAATTCATTAAACGTGGATCGTCTGGAGTTATATGTTAACACACTGTTACACCGCTTGGAAGGACTTTGTTTTGACTTTGTTCAAACTTTCCAACCGTCATCGTATCATTGACCCAATTCTATGTGCTTCTTCTTTTGTTGTCTTTATTTAAAGAAGTGAGAGGAAGCGTATCTTTAGCAGCAGCGCTTTAACTGAATACCCACCGCTCACTCCTTCATCTCCATCGCTGCTGTAACATGAGCCACCTAGTGCACAACCGCGGTGACCAGAACATCTTAGATGGATGACATCGATGTCAAGGTCTTAAACACTTGTTGGGTTCTATGAGAACAGAAATACAAACTTCGCCTGAACCTTCTCTCAGACATGATCAGCAGAGCGCTGGGTCCGGAGTTCGGGGGCAGCATCGGCATCATGTTCTTCCTGGCCAACGTGTGCGGCTGCGCTCTCTTCGTGCTCGGGCTGGTCGAAGCCATCGTGGCCACCTTCGGAGTGCCAGAAGGTGAGTTTCATTTCGACACCCTGTGAGCTAAACGCTGCACCACTCTGCTGCCCCATTACGGTGCTTTTATTATCTAAATTATTGCACCAAAAGCACCACTTCATATGTGCTATATCGGTCTACTATTGAACACATTCTGTCAATCATTCATCAACGTTAACACATCTTCCTCCTTGTCTTTTCCCTCATGCTGTCCTGTCTCCTCCACCTCCAGCCGGGTCTCAGCTCACTTCTCCCTACCAGGTCCTGCCGTCGGGCTACTGGTGGTCTCTGCTTTACGGCACGGGTGTCGCCCTGCTGTGCCTGCTGGTGTGCCTGGTGGGAGCCCACATCTACGCCAAGGCCACCTTCCTCATCTTCCTGGTGGTCATGTTCGTCCTGGGCACCGTCTTCGTCAGCTTCTTCGCCGTAGGCCCGCGCACCATCGTGCTGCCCAGCTCTGCCGCGTTCAACCCGACGGCCAACGGGACGGGCCCGCCGTTCCCCACCACCGGCAACTTCACCGGCTTCAAGTTGGACACGCTGCTGGGGAACCTGTATGGTAAGCTGCAGGAGGCCGTATCTCGGGATGTGCTCATACCGAGTATGCTCGGAGAGTCTTATTTGGCAGCGTGACGGATGTTTTGATTGATCTGTAAACAGATGTTGTGCGTGTTGTCGGGTTCTTAATGTCCACGGAAATCTATCCAATTACTCCGGTCTGTTTGCAGGGCTTTGTGTCCGAGCACATGATTACTCAGCTAACTGGTTATAACTCGGGCACACGTGAGAACTATTACACGCTGAAGCTTTGAATAAGCCAAAGATCTGACCAGAGGAGTCCAGAGAGAAAAGAGCTAATCACGTCTTTACAGTTAGAACCTCTAATGGTTCTGAATTATACACATTATACATCCTTACTTTCATTAACCAATACATCACAGTACTTTAGAGAGCTTTGTTCTGATTGGAACTACCGTATTATTCATTGACGGAAAAACAAGAGAGCAAAGTTGTGACGTGTTAGTAGAAGTAGAAGAGTTAGCCTTGATTGTGTTGGAATACATCCCAAACCCGCTGCTGCTGAAATACATAATACTGAAAACCAGGTTGTGTTTAAAGTGTTTATTCTCTGCGCAGAGAAGGTTCAATCATCACAACAGAATGCGTACGTCTCAGTGAGGAAGAACCAAGAAAAAGGTGAACAAGCTTTCTTTATACAGAATGAGCAAAGCTGGGGGCCGATGGCCGATGTTACAGACTTAGTCTCAGCCTGATGGGAAGAACAATGAACACCAACAAACGGCCAGCAACCAAAACAAGCAGCCCGAAGGCCTCGGTGCTGGAACCTTCTCATAGAACACAGTTAGTTATCTCAGGAGCAGAGAACTCTTCTTCTGCACAACAGAGACACCGTTCAACAAAGTTCAGAGCAAAATGACTTGTGCATGAATACGATATACTGAGAGTAATATACACTACGTAAAAATATACCGTTATATCATCCATGTGGAAAGGTTTGGGAATGGTGACCCAACGTGTCTTTGGTGGATATGATATTCATTTTCAATATATACATATAAAGAAATCAAACAGGATGTGTGTTTATGTTTTTCGGGCTGGTGGGAGTTTCTTCAAATTAGGCGCAAATCTCCACTGGGGCTCGAGGATGAGCTCATTATAATCTGGAGGGGTGAGGGTTGAAGGGTGAGGGTTGAGGGGTGAGGGTGGGGTTGAGGGGTGGGGTTGAGGGGTGAGGGTGGGGCTGAGGGGTGGACAATGGAAGCTTTTCCTCAGGTACATTTGTCACGTTTTTCATTTTTTACAGATTAAGCCAAGACGGTCATTTCCATCTGATTGTTTTAATCATTGTGCTACAAAGGGAGTCCACGAATCACAATACCGCCTTAAAAATACCATATAGCGTACATCACCCACCCGTAGTAAAGGCCGTGTCATTGGAGTTTACTGGTCTGGTCCCAGTTGATTTCCCGTGTCAAAGCCCTGATGATACTGTGATTAATTGTGGTTATGGATTACTTATTAGAAATTGTTAAAAGCCATTGTTTCCATGTTGGGTTCTGTAATATATTGCAAAATAATCCGTAAAAAAAGGGTCGGTCCTTCCTCATGATATCTTGGGAACGCGTTGAGCATATTTCTTCCAATTTGACACAAATGATCAGCTAGAATTTGGTGGTCGAATATCTGTGAACTCACAAAACATGTTTTTTGGGCCAACACTCAAGAATTCACACACTTTTAATGTCAATTCACTCAAATGTCTGATCGGATCAAATGATAACGTAATGGCATTTTGTACGGCCGTGGAGGTGAACCGCGACATCACGAGGGGCTTAATCTACTTGATGAACGGATCCAATGCTGCTCTGTACACAGAAGACAAAGATGCTGCAGAGAGTTGTTTCCTCAAACGCTGTAAAACACGACGAGGTTTTTATGACGGCGAGCCGGCGCTGAGGAGCGTCTGCCCCGTGAGACCAAATTGAACTTTCCCTTCAGAAGACGGATGGTGCTGATAAAACCACGACTACACCGACTCACCCGCTGTTATCTCTCCCCCACAGCTGACTACACCGTGGATTACACAACCAACACCGTGATGACCTTTGCCACCGTCTTCGCCGTCATTTTTAACGGCTGCACCGGCATCATGGCCGGCTCCAATATGTCAGGTAGGTGGGGGCGGCGTGTGTGTGTGTGTGTGTGTGTGTGTGTGTGTGTGTGTGTGTGTGTG